CGGAGGCTCTCAGTCACACACGAGGCTGCCCACCTCTCTCCCCCAGAGCAGCTGGTTAAGCTGAATCATCTGCGTTTGGGCTGGCAGCACAACTCACCACCGCCAAGCCACCAGAAATCTCTTCTAGATCCTGTAAGTAATGAATTTAGGGTCAGAATACATGTCATTCAATTCTCACAGAGAAGAAAAAGAATCACTGACTAGTTTATGAGTTGCCTTTCAAAAGTAAGTTAAATGTGAAAATAAAACTGGCAACAACAGAATCCAAAGTATATTTCATTAAAGGAACTGGATGACATATTTCCTGCAAGAACACATTTACAGCACAAAATGTTGTAGAAAGAACGGAACTCCAGAGACCTGACTTCAAGTCCCAGAAAAATCACGTACCAGGCACGTGAACTTGAAGGAGACATTTAACCTCTTCCTTTCCTCTGTGGCCTGTGTAAAACTGACTTTCCTCTCAGAGTTACAATAATCAAATGAGAACAGACTTCTGTACATTATTAAACTTTGTACATATGCTATCTATAATCATATTGCTATAAACAGAACTCTTCATGCCCTAAACAGACTTGTTCTATGTTCAGCAAATGGCATCCAGTTGTTTCGGACAAAAACCCTAATCTCCTCTATACTGTCTACCCCTCCTATCAAATTAAACAATGTCAGGATAAAGTGTCAGCTCCTTGGCTTAATAAGCCTTTCATGATTCGGCCTCATCTCTTGACATTGCTATTTAACTATCTCAAGCCTCGACTCGACAGCACCTAACAACAACATCTCAACCTGTCATAATGTAACCATTTCACATGTCCTAACACTTCTGAAATTTCTACCTCGATGCTCAAGCTATACAGTTCTTCCTGGAACACCCTTGCTGGGCATTCTCATCTGGCCAATTCCTACGTGCCCTTCAAGGCTCAGCTAAAATCATCTTGAAAGTGTTTCTCAAATCCTCCAGTTTCAGGTGAACAGTGTTTCTGAACATTCCCGGACCCTACACACACATCTAAAGCAGTCTTCAACAAGCTCTACTAAGTGTTCATTCCATCTCTACCTCGAGACCAACAGTCCCCAACTGAACTTCCTGCAATGACATAAGCATTCTACATCTGTACTGCTGAATAGGGTAGCCACTAGCCATGTGAGATTACTGAGCACTCAAAATGTGATTAGTGCTACTCAAGCACTGGATTTAAATTCTATTTTCTTTTAGTGATGTTTAATTTAAACAGACTAATGTGACTACTGGCTATGGTACTGGACAGCCTGGCTCTAGACAGATCGCCATTTCTTTGAGGACAATGACCATGGTTACTGGTCTGTATGTCCCTAGTATCTACCACACGTCTTGGCACAGAGCATGAGGGAGTGCTTGTTTAAAGAATAAGTGAATGTGTAAATATCTAAACATTTCCTATGTATTGTTGGGAAGTGATTCCATTTAACTACTCCAAGTATTCTATTTTATTCTATCAAATATGGCCAAACTTAGTCACATCTTGTAAAGTACACCTCATTAACTATGGGGGTGGGGGTGGGAGGGGAAGCGCCTTGGCAAAGCAGTCATTTCTACTTAGGGCATATCAGCTTCACAATCACTCTTAAATGACTTCCAGATGACTTCTGGACAAACGTTTACGCTGTTTATGAAATATTCCAATACTCAAAGCAGCATCATTTTGGAATGTCAAAATCAACTACAACATTTTAGAAAGGAAAAACTATGGCTTTTTACCATGCTTATATAAACTGTGGGAGTGAGAGATTCCTTTGACTGTCTGAAGAAGTCCTAGAATATTAAAGATTATTTTGAACTATTCTTTAAAATTAACCATCAGCTCTCCTGAGTTAATTTCTGAACTGCCATACAGCATTGGAAGGTGAACTGACTTGATTGGATAGGCTTCATTACTGAGTTAGCAGAGTAAAAAGAGAACATGACCTAGCTACAAAGAACTAGCAGTCAAGTTTAATTTGGTTCCAATTAAAAGTCTAAGTAGACAGAATTCATGAAGTTGACATATACTTGGTCATTTGAGATTTCAAGAAATCCAAGATGTGAACTTTACAAAGCAGAGATTAACTAGGTTTGACTCCATCCAGATCCCTCTATAAAATCCTCCAGGTATAGCTGGCAATCAAATGTATCAACAAAGGTGGTTTGTATACAACAGCCTTCCTCGAGAACAAGGCCAGTTGCTCCATTTCCTACTTGGTGTCCTCATCAGCTATAATATAATGACTGAACAATCACTTTTTAATGTCCTTTCATCACATAATTACTTCTGTAAAGAGAGAATAATCCTTTAGCCTATTTCTAAGGGAAATGAAGAAAAAAAAAAAACAGGCAAAGAATTTTAAAAGCTTGATGGGAAATGGAAGCAGGAGGGTATATAGCTCATTCATTTAACATTTTAGTTAGAAATGAACCAAAAGAATTCTTAATGTAGGAAAAGTTAAGTAAAAAGAAAATACAGCATACAGTTTCTTTAAAAAAAAAAAATCACATACGGTATATACCAAATACCTAAGAGTTAAGACAATGATTAAGGGTGATAAAAGAAGGATGGATGTATTTGAGTTGTGATGTTGGAGAAAATGACTGAATATCTCATGGGCTGCCAATAGGACAAGTAAATCTGTCTTGGAGGAAGGGCAACCTTGGAGGCAAAGGACGTGAAACTTCATCTCACATACTTTGTGAGTATGTTGTTAGAAGGGGCCAGTCCCTGCAAAAGGACATGATAAAGGCATGCAGGTCAAATTCACCAGCTGCTTCATGCTTAACTGCTCTATAAACTCAATGAGAAGCTATGAGTCAGATCCAACTCAAGGATACGTAACAACAACTGGGGAAAGTAGAAGGTCAGAGAAAGAGAGGAAGACCCGCAACAAGATGGACTGACACAATGACTCGGGCATTGGGCTCAAGCATATTAGAGATGGTGAGAAGGGCGCAGCATAGGGCAAGGTTCAGATGCGCTGATCACAAGGTCACTATGAGTCAATTCAATGGCACCTAACAACAACAACAACAACAACAACATATATTCTAAGCATTCTTTTCTCTTATACATTTTTTAAAAATAATACTATTACCAAATATTAGCTAATGGTTGCAGCAATAATATGATGAAACAGAGCTCTGGTGGAGTAGTACATAGAGAGCGATGTGGCTAAACCAAAGGTGGCATCTCTCTGTATCACATCCACCACTTGAAGAAGAAAGATAGGCTCTTTCATCCTGTTCTGATTTACAGCCTAGAAAACACACTGGAGGGTCGGTCAGCTGTGAATCTGCTCTGACTCAGTAGGGAGGGAGGGAGGGGAGGAGAGGGAAAAGAGGGGCAGAGGGGGAAGGAGGAGAGAGAAGTAATTACATAAAGCTCACTCTTGTTTCAGTCACTGTCCACAGACACAAAGATACATTTAACAAGCATTGATTCTTTCTGCCCTCACCAAAACACTGTGAGGGAGGGATTATTGCTATCTCCGCTCTCTAAATGAAAATAAGCAGAGAGAAGTAACTTGACCCAGTTCACAGGCTTCCAAGTGGCAAATATCATAATCTCTCTTCAATTTTTGCTGGGAGCGCATTCAGTTTAACTAAGTAGTGTGGGAATTAAAATGTTCTCCTTAATTTCATTAAATCCTTAACGGCTATTTTAATATTCTAGTAGAAGCAGGTAGTACAATCAGTATTTCTTATATTTAATTCTAATTCTCCACGTCAGTAGGGACTGAGCTGGCATGGGCACATTCTCAGGACTTGGATCTAATACTCAGCAGCTGGGCTCTCGGACAAACTGTAACATGAATTTAACTCTTTTAAGGTTATGTCTCTTTAATGTTCTTAGTACCAAACTGTCACCTTCTTACCTCTACATATTACATAATCTCTCTGTTCAATCTTGGGAAAAAATCTATACTTAAAAAAGGGAAAGGCAATTTAGAGTAAGTGCATGATCAGACACTGAGGGCACTGTAATTAATGTTATTTTTTAAAATGTGCCTGAATGATTAAAAACAAAAATGCTTTATAAACTTTCACTCAAATGATAATAAAAGACTTTATTAAAGAAAAAATAATCCTGTGTTTTGTTTGATTCAAGCCTGATTTGTTTTTCACCTGGATTTAAATATAATAAAGCTAATATTTCCCAGTTCCCAACTGAGATATTTGCCAATTCTTTTAAAACTTACAAGTGCCTATTTCCATTATGGCTTTCAAAAAAGTACAGAGGATAAAACAGATTGGGATTTAAAAATTTGGAAGACTTTTACACAAACCGTTAATCTACTCAAACTAATGAGTTTCCCAAAACAATCCAGCAAAGAGGTTCATTTCAAACATTGAAATTCCCTACAACCTCTTTGCCTCTGACTGCCTTTTGCCATCGCACCGTCTAAAAAATGGAAAATGTAAGACACAAATGACCAATCTTAAAGAGGAGTGTTTTTAGAGACTCAACCATGTTCCATACATCCATTCTATCCCCAGAGGTCATCTATAAATGTCCAAGGTCAACCTCAAACCACACTCAGCTTTCTGCTAACAGTTGGTGGTGTCCACTTCACCCTGACCCTGAAACACCTTGTATTTTTCGGAATGGTTGTGTTACCCATGCAGCAATTTCTTTGGCAACAATGGTAATTACACAGGAGCCTTGTTATCTCAGGAAAACACTGTAATTAACTTGTGTCACTGCAGGAGTCATGGTTAAAATAATTGCAGCAAAAAGTCCTATGAAAGTAGCATTTTCTAGATCTGGCCCTCAAAAATAGCTTCAGCAATTACACTGTTTAAAAAAAAAAAATCAAGACACATCCCCCCACAAAGAAAACTCAATTTGTTCTCCACAAAACACCCTTCTGAGTGTCCCCAAATGGCAGACATCTGACTTTTTCTGTTGTAGGAGCTTCCAAAGAGAATTTAAAAAAATAAAATTTTTTAAAAAGAAAAAAATAATAAAATTTCTTAGAGTAATACTTACAGTTCTTCTAGAAAAGGAAAATTCTTAAATGCATCTTCTGGCAACTGAGTAATATTATTCATACTGATGTCCCTAGAAAACATAAAGTAAAAAAGATAATTAAGTAACACTGGATTTAAAACACTGAGGGAGCGCTGGTGGCCTAGTGGCAAGAAGCTGCTGCACTGCAACCCCAGAGGTACACGGTTCAAATCCACTAGATGTTCTGCTGGAGAAGGAGGGATAATCTCCTTCTATACCAGTCAGATCTGATTTTGACTGTACACACACGCACACACACAAAACAACAACACTGAATTCAATTAAAAAGGAATTGAGTGCTAAAAAATTGTAAACAAAGGGCGTATAGAAGCCATACATAAGAATAATCATAATTTGACTTCAGAACACAATGATGAGGAAATTTTTTTAAAAGTTACATTTCCCAACCCAAAGGCAAGTGTTTCAAGTCCACAAACTATCCTCATGTGATTTACAAACTCTGAAAACACTTTGGAGGATCAGCTATGAGTTGGTTCCCTCTCAATGGTACATAAAAACAACAACTGCATGTACAGGTGGCACAGTACATAATGCCCTAAGTTGCTAACCAAATATTAGTAATTCCAACCCACGAGGAAATTCATGGGAGAAATTCATGAGTAGTAAAGATTGACGGCCTTGGAAACTTGATTGAGGGTCACTATGCATCAGATCTAGATCAATGGCAGTGAGTGTGAAACATTAGAAGTCGCCTATTGTGCTGCAATCCCAAGGCATGTGGTTCAAGGCCACCAGCTGCTCCACAGGAGAAGGATGGGCTATTTTACTGCTTGTGAAAACCCACCAGAGGGTGAGCTATGGGTCAGTTCTTACTTGACAGTGCATAACAACAACTACAACTGAATTTAAGTGGGGGGATGAGTTCTATTGTGTTTTAATTTCATTAGACTAAAATATATTTATCTTGGGGGAGGGGAGGGTGAAGAAAATGTGCAATAATGAATAAAAAGAATACTTAAAAAAAACAATTTTAAAAAAAGTTACATTTTCCCTCATCATTAACATTTTGGATGGTCTGGTGTGTGTGGTTTTTTAAAAGTTAAATCTTTTATTACCAATTATATTCTATAATTGAAAGACAATTAACATGGTTCTTATTTACTCAGATACTGGATTTCCCCCCATGTAAGTGTAACTGGAGATACCATTCCAAACTGCTGCTTACGTCAGTGTAGCATGCTCCAGAACAGAACGCAACACGTGCTGCTTGACAACAATCAATACATGAAGACCTAGGACTTGATTAAATGGATTTTCAGGTAAATGTGGCTTCTGCCAAGTTCACTGTCAAAAATTGTGAAAGTTTATCCTACTGAGTTATATTTCCAGAGTCAAACTTCTAAAAGTCCTCCAGGTAATAGCTCTCAGTGGATTTCATTTTTAGCCCATGAACAGATGCAAGCTAGAGACAAGTGCATACATGACAGGTATGCAGTCCAACTCCTGCTTCCCCTTCCACAGTCAGCAGAAAGGAGAGAACTCCCTCGACGGTGTAACTCAACAATTTACTAGTCCAAACAGCTACAAACCACTCGATTAACCATTTCCCTCTTTCCTAGTAGCAGCCTTATGAACTGCCTTTCTCCTTCCAAAATCCACTTAATCTCATCACCACGAAAAACAAGCTAACGCAGCCTTGCAAAAGCCCCAGCATGCGCGTGGGTAGCTACCTCATTCAGATTCCTCGGCCACTCCTCTGGTGTTGAATTCTGTATTTTCCTTTTTTTCTCTTTTCTCTTGGACTCACCATGAAAACTGACATGTAGGACATTTCTATTACTAGATTAGACATACAGATAAAAGGAAGTAGAGAAGAAACCAAGTACAACAAAGTTAGCTTAGCAATGAAGCTGCGTCATTTTCATCATTTCAGTTCAGTGAAATGCTGTTTTGAAGGAAAACATCAAGGCAGGCAAGTCCTTTCTGTCTGTCCTTCCATTAAGTTGTAGGAATGGAGTTTGCACTCCGTCTTATTAGATCTCCAGTCTGTAGGAAACTGTATATTAATACTATGGCTCAAGTCTCATTGAACAAATGGGGGAAATGAGCTTTAGGAAGGTAAACTACTCTCTCGCAGATCAGTTAACAATAAGTAGTGTAATAGCTTTACAAAGTCCAGAACCTATGATTTTAATTCTCAGCCCTCTCAAACGTCTTTTGGATCCTGCGACTTCTACCCAATTGTGCTGGTGGTTGTTATGTGTCTTTCATTCTCAGAGCTGACTCTCCAGGGGGGTTAAGTCACAGGAGAGACTGTCCATCTTTGTCCTGAAGAGCAGCAGCTGGTGGATTAGAACTGCCCGCCTTTGGGTTGGCAGCACAGCTCCTTATCATTGGGACTCATAGGATACAAAACAAACCTTCAACTAGTATCACAGTTAAAACGCATGAGGGAATCCCACTTCAAGACCTTGGCATTTGTGAAACTCAGCAAGAATTCTATTTATAGCTTTAGCAACTGAGCAACTAAAGTTCACAATTTCTTAGAGGATAAAAGTTTTCTTGAGACAAAACCCTAATGGGATTAGATTTACATACACTCTACAATTTTATATCACTGAAAACACAAGTGCTATAAAAGACAGCTTTTCAGGAAGAATAAAACTGATATACCTTTTCAGAAATTATTAAGTGTTTATTTCAATGTTTCTTCCGAGGGCTCTGGTGACTGGTGGGTAAGGAGTTGTGCTGCCAAGTCCAAAGGTTTGAATCCACCAGCTGCTCAGTGTGAGATAGATGAGCAACGTCCCCCTGTGTAATTTATAGCATATGAAAACTCGCTGGAGTGTCAATGAGCCAGCGCGGACACGATGACACACAACAACATTAACTTTTGCCAGATACCATTTTGGAGGCAGGAGAAACCCTTTGGTTTTCATAGGTACATTAGCAGGATACTGCAGAAGCAGCACCAAACTAGAGGTTAGAAACAGCAGATTCCTCTCCAGACAGTGCTATGTAATCCTGGGCCTCAGTCTGTTCCTCTACAAACTGAAGCAGCTGAACTAACGGGCTGGCTCTCTGTCCATGTCTACGTCTCAGTTCAACGGTCTAGACTTCCATGAGTGATCTTTTTCTGTATTTTTTGTGAAGTAACCCATACTTCCTGATGAAGATACGTGGGGCTCATTTTATGGAAGAGACAAATTTTTTAAGAGATTGCCACGTTGCAAAATCTAAAGACTATGTACGCTCTTGCCATTAATAAAAACTACTGAGTCACTCTCAATGAAAAACATTTGCCTTTACCAGTAAATTCTCAGTATTACCAAATGCTTAATTAAATTGAAAGGCAAGATATTTATCTGATATGAGTAAATGGGGATTATAGAAAACATTGCTTAATTTCAATTCATTTTTATCTTTAAAAGAAAAAAGAAAGGACAGCCATATTTATTGCTCTATAAAATGAGACATTCCATATGATTTCCTCTAAGTGAGGCATATTTGAATCCAGGTGTCCCAGTGGGTAGGGAGTTGCTCTGTTAACCCAAAGGCGGTACCTCTCTGAAGGTTCAAATCCTTCAATGGGTCCCTGATATACAGATGGAAAACCCCTTGTACACTTTAAAGCCCTCTGAAAACCCACTAGAGAGTCAGCTACATGTTGGGTTTCCATTACAGAACAATGAGTAGTAGGAGGAGTATCACAGTAGCTGGGAAACGGATTAATTACCTCATCAGAAAAAAGATCTAGAGAGAACTGATTAACCAGAAAAAACAAAAACAACCAGACCCGCACATAATTAGAATTTACACCACACTATCCTCTGCTTTCCAATTCTTAGGCATAGATACACATATATAATTCTCCCATTTTTTTTTTTTGCCCCCCTCAGAGTTAACAAGCCATAACAGGTAGTTTTGCTGTAAGCTGTAAATGTAATTAGTGAAACTCTGTATTTACAAACCAATATCTGTCAAATACATGGAATGGTTTTGTCTCAAAGTTTCATTTTCAGGAGCAACACTTGTCTCAGAATTGTCCCCGAATTATTCTGAATTTCCCAAATTTGGAGAGGCTGTCTCATTATAGGTGTTTTCCTTCATATATTGCAAGTTTCATATATAAAACATGCAAGAATAAAGGTAAAAGAAAAAGGAAGGGAGGGTGGAGGGGAATAAGGGAGGCTACAAGATGTTATCTCCAGAGAAGTGCTGGAAACATGTGGTTACAGAGTATAAGGTGGGTGGGTATTCATTTAAAATAATGAGGGCTAATGGTGATAAACAACCTACAGACAGTCTCAAGAGTAGATTCCAGACTTGACATCACCAACATCAGTAAGAGAACTGAGGATGCACAGACTTCAAAATTTAAACTTTCAAAAGGATGCTGGGAAGAACTGTAACAATTTACAAATGGAAGCCCTATGACGATTATAAATATATTAAGCACAAAGCCATGGAAATCATCAAAAGACACAGGATACTTGTTCTGAAAACTTGAGCTAGAAGATGGAGCTTCAGGTGGACCTCACATGAATAACATACTCTCAGTAGCATTTGTAATTACACCTACTAATTCACCATTCAGAATTCCCAAGAATGAAGAAATAGAGGAAACAGCAATCATAGAAGGCCAAAGCACCACCAACTTACAATCACACCTGATGGGCAATGCCAGGAAAACTGACTCTGAACTGACCTGCTGTAGCTCAACCTGATGTACAAACTCTAGAGAAGGGAGATTTAACGATGGATTTACGACCGATGAGGTCTCATGGTGGAGTGCTGCACTGTTAACCAAACGACTCGCCATTTCCGACAGTTTGAATCCATCAACGTTCAGAGAGAATGGGCACTGGAAATGCGACGGAGGGTCCCTGAGTCAGAACTGACTCAGTGGCCCTGAGACTGTCACTTCATCTCATATACTGGCATACTGTCTGGAGGGGCTAGTCCTTAGAAAAAGACATCATGCTGGGAAAGGTGGAAGGTTAGAGGAAGACAACAAGGTGGACTGACTGGCATGACGGATCCAACAATGGGCTCGTGCCTATCAGTGATGCTGAGGGTGGTACATACAG